CTTTGTCAGACGTATGCACTGCAAGCTCTGTGGATTGCCCTCTATTTTACTGGTGTATTTTGATGATAGGCTAATATTAACGTAGCCCAATTAATCATCTTCCTTTACAGACAGTGCTTTTTTCTGCCCTATTTACCAAGTCCTGTTTGCTAAGGTCAGGAAGACAATCTCCCATGCTATCTTCCTGAAGCTTTGTTTTACCTTTCATATTTAGAAATCTAAATATCCATCTGGATTAATTTTTGTGCATAGTGTGATGGGATCAAGATTCTTTTTTCTCCCCTTTAATATGAATATCCAATTGATTCCACACCACTCATTGACAAGACCATCCTTTCTTTACCACATTGCTGTGACACCTTTATCATGAACTAGACAGCTCTATGTGTTCGGGTCTACTTCTGGACACTATTCCATCAGTCTATTTGTCTATCCTCGTGCTAATATCACTGTTTTAATTACCGTAGCTCTGTAACAGTTAGTCTTGATACTGGTGGTGTAATCTTCTAACTTTGATCTTTTGCTTTGGGATAGTCTTTGCTATTACTGGCTCTCTACATTTCCATATAGGTTGCTAACCCTCCCACCTTACCCCCTCACCCAAAACGTTATTGGCATTTTGATCAGGATTGCATTGAATCAATATCAATTTGACAAGAATTGACACTTGAACAATACTCAGTATTCTAAACAATAAACATGGTACACTACTCTACTTATTCAGATCTTTTTAAAATTTCAGTAATGTTCTGCAGCTTTTCTGTGTAGAGCTCTTGCACATCTTCCATTAAACTAATTCCTAGGTATCTGATGGCTTTTTTTTATACTACCATAAATGGTATCTTCATTAAGTGCTATCTTATGTGTTGCTAGCTTATATGAATACAGTTGATTTTTGTACATTGACCTCACCTCCAGTGACATCACTAAAGACACTCATTGGACTGGTTTGTCTGTGGGTCCTTTTGGATTTTCTAAGTGGACAATCACATAGACTGAATTAGTTTTATTCTTCCCTGTCAATCCTTCTACTGTTTCCTTGCTCTGCATTTAAGACTCTAGACTTCCCTATAAGCAACGCTTGACCTGCAGCCCACAAAGTTTAATCTTATGTTTTCATAACAAAGGATCATCAGATAATCGAGAATCCTTGAAAATGAGAGAGAGATCAAATCAAAAAAACTGAAAACTGAGACACTTGAAAGAAAAGGACAATGCAGAGGATAGAATAAAGGGATACAATAACATTAAAATAATACAAAAAAAGAATATCCTGAGAAAGATAACATATTGAATCAATGAAGCAAGAATAGGGTCCTTTCAAAAAAAAAAAAAAAAGGACCAGAGAATACATAAATGCAAAATGATAGCCAAAAAAAAAAAAAAAAATTAATAGCAGGGTTGGAAGACAGTTAACGAAATCCTTCAGACTCAAAAGCAAAAAGATGTTAAACAGAGAACATCAAAGGATCAATGTGTGAGGCCCAACACCTGAATAACAGAAATTCCAGAAAGAGAGAATAGAGAATGAGGAAGGGAGGAAGTTATGAAAGAAACAACTAAAGGACTTGAGGACTTTCCAAGAAAAGGCAGGAATAATTAGCACAATGAATGAAAAAAAAGACAAATCAGACCTTTTCAGAGGGAAATTAGAAAACTCCAGAAATAAAGAGAAAACCCTAAAATCTTCCAGAGAAAAAACTACATCTCAGAGGACTGACAATTGAAATGACTTCTCATCAGCCACACTTAAACCTAAGAGCATGGGGCGATGTTTTAAGAATTCTGAGGGGAGGGGCTGGCCCTGTGGCTTAGCGGTTAAGTGCGCGCACTCCGCTACTGGCGGCCCGGGTTTGGATCCTGGGCGTGCAGACGCACCGCTTCTCCGGCCATGCTGAGGCTGCGTCCCACATACAGCAACTAGAAGGATGTGCAACTGTGACATACAACTATCTACTGGGGCTTTGGGGAAAAAAAAAGGGAGGATTGGCAATAGATGTTAGCTCAGAGCCAGTCTTCCTCAGCAAAAAGAGGAGGATTAGCATGGCTGTTAGGTCAGGGCTGATCTTCCCCACTAAAAAAAAAAAAAAAAAAAGAATTCTGAGGGGAAAACTTTTTTCAACCCAGAATGCTAGACCCAGCCAAACTACCAGGGAAGCACAAAGGAACAGACACTTTCTGACAGGGGAGATCTCAAAAGGTCACCTCCCAAGGACCTTTCCACAGAAAGCACTGGAAGAGGGGCTCACCAAAATGAGAGAATAAGCCACGAAAGATCCAGGACGCAAATGATTGAACCCAAGGGAAGCCAAGGGAAGCCTCAGAATGACCAATGACGCAGCACACCCCGCCAGTAACCAGTCAGACTGCAAGGAAAGGAAAGGGCTCCAAAGACGTATCTTCAGGAGGAAAAGAAAATAGTACTAACAGAACGAATACCCGATTGTGGTTGAACGAATGGAAAATAAAGAGGTTTACAATCCCGTGGAAAATCTGTTAATTTGAGGAAGAACAAAAGTCGCACAGGAAAGAAATGTAATCCCCACACACAGCTAGTTAGCTCATCAGTGACTAAAAGTCGTATGCTAAACACTGAGCATAAATTTAACAACAACAAGATATTACTATACTAGCAGGATGGAAAGGAGTAAAGGTAACTCACAGGGTGAGTTAAGAGTACAAAATCTCATCTTCCATAATAGCGGGTTAACAGATGATGAATCAAGTCAATAAATGAGGAGGTAGCAGAACATATCTGTCTCCAAAAGGATGGAAGTGAGTACCAGAAGAAACTGCTACAGTAATCTGGGGAGATGCACCCAGGGGTGGGGTGGAATGGGACAGGGAAATGCTGCTTTTCAGTCTGAGCTTTGTACACTATTTGAAATTTTAAACTATGTACATGTATTAACTAGATAACAATAGAAAGTATTCACATTTCTAAAACAAGGCAGGGCAAAGATAGGGGTCTATGAACCTGAAGCAAAAGGAAACAGTTTGAAATGATTATTCTTTTCGTTAAACATGATCTCTTAGGCTCCAGACTAGATCTTGAAACTAAGGACAACTGAGTCAAAATGATATATATCACAGGCCAACTACTGACCCAGACATTGCAACCATATCCAGGGACACTAGTGAGTCAAACGGAAGCTAAAGAAGGCTTCACAAATAAGTACATGACAAAATGAGCTCGTTTTGTTTACAGAAAGGGGGAATGGTGTTCAAGTGTGTCTATTTTATGCATGTGTGTGTGTGTGTGTGTGTTTACACATACAGGAAGACTATATAACCTGCCTATAACATATATTACACGTTACATCTAAGAAGTCTTGTTACTCAAAAAAAGATTTTTAAACTGTTGTTGGATAATTCACTTGTCAATCACCCTTTTTCAATGTCTAAAGAAATTTCAGCCACAAAACATCTAACTGCATTTAGAATAAAAATGATGAAAAAAAGCTACCTACTGAAAAATTATTTTAAAAGTCTTTAGAAAACTTGGGAGAACTATAGGCAAAAAACAAGAACATACATTCAATTACAAGTGCAAGTATCAAATATTTATACCTCAACACAAAACTCCTAAAAATAGTTTAAACTACAAATTTTAATAACATAAATAGCAATTATACTTTTAATTTAAAATTTTATTCATGATAATCTCAATTAAAATAAACTTAATTGCAAAAACAACCTGTCTTGAAATAATACAGTATGAGATGTTTTTACTGCACATGACCAACAGTGCAAATCCAGTGATTATAATACTCAAATCTTAGTATCATATGCATTTAATGTATTGGATGCACACAACAATAAAATAACCCCTGACCCTGGAGACTTTATGATGCACTTTTCATTTCATCAAATACAAGGCTCACATGAGCCTATGACAAAACATAATAGTCTGTTCACTTCCAAGGAGCAAGGCTAAGCAATAAATTAATCTTTTAAAAATATCTATGAACCAGAACAATTTTCTTTTTGAGTTTGATAAGCCAGAGACTATTAAGGAATATTTAAGGGCTGAACAGAATCCAGTGGCAACAAAGCTAAATAAGGAAGAAACAAATAGTTCAATATTAACAGTACAGTATATTTGCAGGTTCTAGGTTTCCTGGGCACAACCGGACCAGTCTGAACACCTTTAAAACATAAATCCTGAATTTAGTAAAACGTTTTACTGAGGGACCAGCCTGGTGGTGTAGTGGTTAAGTTTGCGCACTCTGCTTTGGCGGCCCAGGGTTCACCGGTTCGGATCCTGGGCGTGGACCTATGCACCACTCATCAACCCATGCTGCTGAGGCCGCATCCCACATAGAGCAACGAGAAGGATGTACAACCAGGACATACAACTATCTCCTGGAGCTTTGGGGAGAAAAAAGGAAAAAAGGAGGAAGATTGGCAACAGATGTTAGCTCAGGGCCAATCTTCCTCAAAATAAAAAAAAAATTTTACTGTATCTAATTATATCAGACACCTGATGAGGGTGCTTTTTTGAAACAGTTCCTTTGCTTTTACATAGGGACTTTAAAGGAATCCAAACAAATACTGTAACGCAGTGTTTTGAAAAATATATCAACTGCAGAAATGCCCACAATTAGGAATGATATCTGGCGGTAGAGTAATTGAAATGGTAAGGTTATATGAAATGTTAGAAGGAATGGTAATGTGAAAGATGAAAAGGATGACTAGATAATTTTTATTTCAAAACCTGAAGTAAAACTACAGACAGTGAGCTCATTACTTTATGTGTCTGTTATAACTAGGAACTGCTACCCTCTAAACAGTCATTCTTTCAATGCTTACTTTTGGATTGTCTATGTTGGACAAGTCCTGTGTTAAGTGCTATGTGTCCACTGATGAACACAACCAGGTTCTTTGCAAACAAAGAAACCTTGGTCTAGGAAATACTCGTTATATTCTTACAAATTTAATCAAATATGGCTTTTGGCACTACAGAGAAAATTTTTTCCAAAAAGTTAACTTTCTAATTAAGAATGCTTATGTGTATAAATTGTAAGTCAAAACTTCAGAGGCTCATATATACTTAGAAACGCTACATTGCTAACTGACTGTCTCAGTTGATGACACCGATCTCATGAACTGCCTGTGTATTTTTCCCAAAGTACATTCTTCCGTGCAAAATTTTTTTAAAGCAATAAAACAAACATTTCATCTATTTTTTCATATCTAGTTTAGTAAAATATAAAACAAGTTGCAATTTTTTAATCTGGACATCAATGACAATTTAAACCAATTATATTATACATCTGAAACAGGTGTCCTAAATTTTGTAACCCCATCAGTGCATCAGCAAAACCTGGGGAGATGCAACTGTGATTGAACATATGAGTCTGCTGTAATTAATCTTCATCGTCTCTTTGAAAAGGTAATATCTGAATTTCTTTGGCTATCCTTTCTGCTAATGTTTTACTACTCGCAGCAATTATTCTTCGTGACATCAAATCAAACGGTCCACCTAAAATCAAACCAGATATGGGAAACGATTATATCTTGTACAAAAATAATTTCTTTAAACCAGTATAGCAATATGTACTATGGTCAATCATAACACTTTAATACTTTCAGTTATCTTTTAAACTCTGTCACATACCATAATGTTTAAGACTTGGCAATATATACATGAGTTCCTAAGCATTTATTTTAGTAATATTACACCAGTTTTGGATGGATGTGGGGTCTCAATCATACGAATCAGAAAATTGTCATCTTTTTCTATGTCTTCCTTTTATTTCTTCTTTTTATTACCCGTCTACCTCTTTAATGTCTGGGAATCTGTGGACTGGAAATTTGACTCCAATGCATTTTCATACCACTTTCCTTCCCAGTTCCTTATTTCTTTCTTGTCTTTCTCCCAGATCACTGGATGAATTCTTTCAACCCAGGCTCATCCTTCACTTTTAAAAATTTCACCATCAGTACAAAGAAAGTATTTAAGCTCTCTAGGCCCAAGGCAGAAAGTGATGGTGGAGGAAGTCCACCGTCAACCACCACCACGGTCACCATTCCAAGGGCTCTCGGTACAACTCTCAGATTCATGACCTTCTAGACTTTTTCTGTAGCCTCTCAAGAGCTCCCGACACTCACATTTGCAGAGGCCAAGCCACTTATCATCACTCCCACACTACCATTAGTGTCTTATACTTGCCTCTATCTCCTAATGTTTATTTTGATTTTTCAGAAAATTACATGGTTTGTTTTGCCCTTAAAAGTTGAAGCATAACATATATCAAACATTAAAAGAAAACAGCCATATAGGGAGGAAAGTTCAACTAAGAGAAAAATGCTCTCCTGTCTCATCCTTTTACCTGTTACATCCAGGAGCACTCCACCAGCTTCAGTAACGATAATGCCAGCTCCCGCCATGTCCCAGCAGTGAATGCCCATTTCGTAGTACGCGTCCGCAACGCCGGCCGCAACGAGGCACATGTTAACAGCTGCTGTCCCAACACCTCGGATCCTAACAGTAACATTTACAAATAAGACTGGAAAAAACCATTCTTTCAAAGAAGGTATTCCTCCTTAACTTCAGTTTAGGTGTTGACTGAGATAATTTGAACCAATCCAGACAATAAATGTAAAAACAAGCCGTTTTTAAAATAAAAATTTTAAAATAAAAATACCTAAAATCTAATTATCATGGTGCACTACATAATTAATCCTCACAAAGCAATCATTTAATAAGGTAAACATTAAAACAATGATATTTTCAGGGGGAAAAAAAGGAAGAAAATGCAATAATTCTAGTATAATGGCAAGCACGTATATTCATATTTGTGTAAACCCAGGGACCACAGCCTTATAATACAGGTAGTCTCTAGGAGGGGTAAAATCCACTAATGGTCACTCCCACTGCATGCGGTCAGTACCCGTGACTAAAGGGACAGCAGCAGGCCTGGCTCTGTTTAGACCTGGCTTGCCTGATAAGAGATTTCAGGTTTGCCTTCTCACAGCACCTCTTCCTTGGAAATACACCAAGTAAGGTAAGTCTGGACACTACCTGACAGCTGTTACAGTAATAACTGATGCAGGGAGGAATCATCAATAAATGCCAAAATGAACCAGCAAAAGATCGATATTGACAGTGTCAAAGTATCTTCCCCTCTTTGAAGTAGATACATGATAACTACAATGGGAAAGACAGCATCTCCACAATGGTCTGCCGCTACCAAGTGATCAAAGATACCACCACCAATGACAGGACAAAAGTATCATGTGCCTCCTGATACAATCCACTGAGAAAGACACAACATCACTTCTGGGGCATTCCTGCCAAAAACACATCCCCTAAATCTAATCATGAGGAAACCAGACAAACCCAGAACAAGAGACACACTACAAAATAACCAGACAAACCCCAAACAGGACACGAACTACGAAATAACTAGACAAACCCAAAACGAGAGACACTACAAAATAACTGGCCTACGTTTTTCAAAAATGTCAAGGTCATAAAAGATAAAGACTAAGCAACTGCTCCAGATTAAAGGAAATTGATAAGAAATGAAAACTAAACGCAATAAATGTTCTTGGATTGGTTCTTGGGTCTGATTTTTTCAAAATTTGAATAGATCACTATATTAGGTAATGTATCAATGTTAATTTCCTGATTTTTATAATTGTATTGTGGTTATGTTAGAAAATGTCCCTTTTATGAAAGAAACACACACTGAAGTGTTTAAGAGAAAGGGGTCATCATGTCCGCAAGTTACTTGCAAATGGTTTTTACTCAAACTACTTTTGTAATTGTTTAAACCTCCGAAAACAAGGCAGTGAGATCTGCTCAATGAGACCCTTCACAGTTCATTTTTAAAGAAACAATGGGAAATTAATGACGAATGATTTTATACCTAAAGAATAAAAAACTATTGCACCTGAGTACATCCTTCATGCCAAAGCAATTTTTTAAAAAAAGGATTAGAATCACATGATGCCTTTAATTTCAAATATGTTTTACTGCCTATGTTCTTACTGCACGTCAAATTTAAGAACGAACTAGCAACTGCAATAAATCTCCACGATGTTTGACTGCTTTCCAAATACATAAAACCAAATTAACTTTAGTGGATTTTTTAGTTTATAAATGGTATTATTTTCCCCCTTTTCAGATGGGATATGTGATAGTTCATATCTCAGGTTATAGAAAGCAATTACGAAAATCTTTCACAAATAATCCCTTGGTTTTCTATTCAGAGATAGAATCCTAGGCTGGAAGAAAAATAACGATACCTACTGGCAAGACTTCTGTCTACTTCTAATAATATCATGGGCTCTCGGCAAGCGTTCTGGCAGTCAGGACAGCATATTCCTTTATGGACAAATATTACCAAAGAGAGCACTTAATTACCCAACAACAGAGGCTGTGGTCTAGATTTTGCATATGTGTTGTGAATCCTATCTTAGTCTAATCCTCCCAGAGGGCCAGTTTGGTATAGAGTAAAAAGGACTATCTTCGGTATCACAAAGATTTGAGGTTGCTCAGCTGCTTAAAAACTGTAATTTTGAAAAGTTTCTTCTTCAAGTTTTAGTGCTCTTGGCATCAGAACGGGGATTCCAATTTACCCTGGACCACTGCTGTAACGATTATAGAGGACAGATGTAAAGCATCTAGCAGAGGGCATACAAAAGGGCCTCGATATACAGAGTAGCTTTGTTTATGATGAAATTATTCCCTAAACCATGATGCCAGAAAACATATAAGTAAACAGACACTGCACGCATTTCATCTAAATGAATCCCCAAACTTAAACAAAGGAAATGGCCCCATAATGATGCCTCATAGATGTCATTTCCTAACTAGGAACCTAGAAGACTGTCTCTACTTGTTTAAGGCATTCACTCACATCAGGTGTGAATGAAGCTCTTTAGCTTCATTTTGTTCTGTATGAGTAACCCTTCTGAATTCACAATGAAATACTGAAGAATCAGCTCAATGCAAAAGATCAGGACAAATCAATAAATCAGTACTCTCCTTGGTAACGTTTTCCTGGTTAGACTTTCGAAAAGATCCTGAAATAAAGGTTACTGTTTACTTTTTACTTCAGTCAACGGAAAAATAAAAGGTTAAAGTTGTAAAGCGCTTGCAGCTCTTTTATGGCTAACATCATCATTTTATTGCCCAAATTTAAGTCCACGCTTCAAAAGAGGACACTGTAGCCGCTGGCTTTTTTAATCATCCTGTTCTCCCCTCAAGGACACCATTCTGGGAGCTTCCATAGCTACTTGACAGCGACTCTTCTCTTTCACTTAGTCATTACTACATAGATCACAGATTTATAGCCTAGAATTGTAGTTTGTACAACGGCCAAACTATACATTAAGCGTCTGACTCCCAAAAGAGAAGTCTAATCCGGGAGAAAGAGAAACAGTCTGGAAGCCAGGGCGCCAGTCACCCTGCCCTCTAGCTGCGTGACCTCAGGCAGCCACCTCACCTCTCTGGCTCTCAGTCAGCTCACCCACAAACCAGGCTGGACTGTGAGACGGGGAGACCTGAGAAGAGGACTACAAGCACTTTATAAAGCCAAATGGAAAACTAAGACGAAAAGGTGGCATCCTGGGTTGAAGAATATGTAATAATGATATGTTCTGGCAAAGTAGAAATAACGCAACTTAGAAAACAGGACGAAGAGAGAGAAAAAGGGAAAAGTAGAGTAAAATCACTGACTGTTATACAGGCAACGGGCGGAAGCCAAACAATTCTGCAACCTTTAGAGACAGTAAATAGTTAAGCAAGAAAAGAGAGTATTAGGGGCATTATAAAAAGTTTTAATAGCAAAGAAACGCACTAGAATAAAATTTAACCTTTCATAAATACGCAAAGAAAAGAAGCAGAGGACACTCACAAATAAACACAGCAACTACAACACAACACACACAGTAATTACAACATAAGGTAACAGCACAGAATTGAGACCACACAGTCACGACAACAAACGCATAGGCCTAACTTTGTTATTAAAAGAAAAACATTTTCAAATTGATTATAAGTAAAACTGCACATTATGCTGCATTCAAGCAACACACTGAAAATGCAGTGATTCACAAGGGCTAAAAACAAGAGTGGACAGATTCACCAGGCAAATGGAAACAGTAAGAAAGCAGGGATTGCAATTCTGATGTCAAAGTAGACTGCAAGTCCAAAAGCATGAAATGAGACACAGGCTACTGTATGATGTTAAAATTACACAAGAAGGTCTAACAGCTATGAAGAGGCATCAAATAACACAGCTTCCACCTACATAAAATAACAGCTACAAGTGTTACAAGGAGCAATACAGAGAAACACACTCATAATAGAAGACTTGACCATCACTCTCAGTATGAGACAGATCAAATAGACAAAAAAATAAACATCATAAGGTAGATCTTTGGCTATATATCAAATACTACATCCTGATAACAGAGAATATATTTTTTTTCAGTGTATATAGAACTTTCACAAAAAGTGATCATGTACTAAGGCACAAAGAAAACATTAGTAGGTCCCGTAAGGTAGATTTATTACAATGTAATGAAACTACAAATTAAAAATTAAATTAAAAAAAAAATTTCCTTGTGGAAATTTAAGAACACAACCCTTGGGTGAAAGGGGAAATACAAACAACACAAATGGAAATTACAGATTTTGTGAAAAATAATTATAATGCAAACACTACATATCAGAATCTATGGGATACGTTTAAAGCAGTAGTCATAAAAAATTCATCACCTAAATATTTATATCAATAAAAATCAAAGAATAAAAATAAATAAATTCTCTACTCAAAACAAAAAGAACAAAATGAATCAGAAGAAAGCACAAGGATGAAAACAATAAGAGAGAGAAGAAAAAAACAGTCGATCAGATTAATAAATCAAAATCCTGGTTCTCTGAAAAAACTAAAATAGAAAAACCACTAAGTAATTTAATCAAGATTTAAAAAAAGAAGAAAGCACAAATACACAAAACAAGAAGTGACAAGAGGGAAATAACTACCAATACAGAGAAACAAGAAATAAATTATAAGAGTCTACCTTTCATCCCTCTATACAAATAATTTGAAAATTTAGAGGAAGTGGGTAATTTCTTAGGCCGTGGTAATATTCCAGATCAAAGGTGGCTAAAGAGACTTGACACCTAAATGTAAGCCCTGACCCTAGGCTGAATCTTGCACTGGAAAGAAAATGCTACAAAAGATAGTATTAGATCAACTGACAAAACTGAATATGGATGGTAGATTAGATATTATGAAGTCAGTAATGTACTAAGGCTATGGAAGAGAATCTCCCTCTTCTTAGGAAATAACAAACTGAAATATTTGGGAGCAAAGTTCCATTAACATAAGTAATTTACCCTAAAACAGTTTAGGGAAGAAAAGGTGTGCATGTACGTACATACACACACACATACACACACACACACACAGAAGGAATGATAAAATGATAAAGCAAATGGGCTAAAATGTTAACAATAGGTGAACCTGAGTAAAGGGTATATTATTGTTTTTTTGTATTATTTTATTTCTGTAAATTTTGTTAAGCTTAAAATTATTTTCAAATAAAAGTTTTTAACATTACAAAATTAGAATTATGGTACTGATCCCATGTCTATTAATAAAAAATTTCATTTCTAAAGGAAAATTCATTCCTTAAAATATTTACATTATCTGGAAATTTAGGGGGAAATGAAAAGGGCTTACCCATGAATGGGAATGCAAAGAAGCTTTTCCATATTAGACAGAATAATTCTTACAGTCTCTGGTGTTCTGGAAGAGCCCAACTCTGTCACCAAGAGTGATTTGGTAATATCTAAAAGAAAATGTTTTAAATAATCACTACAGTTTAATAATAAGAATTCCAGTAAAAAACCTGACACTTGTAATTCAGAATAAAATAGGACATTTTTATCCCTCTTCTTAGTTGTATCACATTTGTTTCCTTCTAAGCCTTTAAATATTAAAGTCCTGGTAAATTTATTATCCCTAAGTGGTTGTTTTATAATCATCAAAAAAAGTCTAGCTTCTTAGATAATCCCCCAAAAGGTGCAGAATATAACCAATTTCTCTGCATGCATGATATCATTAGTGGGAAATAAGTAAATACCTTAAATATTTAAAAGTGGAATTTAGAAATTAAATGCAATAAATAATTTATATATAGATTTGAAATAAAAGTTAAAATTAAGTGGTAGTTCTCTTATCTGACCTCCATTTACTAACCTGACAGATTATCCAATGCTGCCCACTCCTTCTTCGAAACCTCTTGACTAAATTCCTGACACACTCAACTCTCTCGGCTAACAGGCTACTCTCTAGAACACTCTCCACTTCATCTCCTCCCACCAGTTGAGAAGCATGCTTACCAGCTGGTTCTGAACATGTTTACAACTGCTGTACTTCTTCTAATTATCACGCAATTTAATTAAATATTATGCAAAGTGAAAAAAATTATAAAAATGGAAAGGGTTGTTTCTATGAACGCTACCACATTCCTTCAATTCTAAAATGCACGTCTTTACACATTAATGTCTTGAAAATTAGGATGCAACTTCCAATCTCTGGGGTCTTCCAGTCCAATAAAAAGGAAGTGAAATAAAAATCTGTTCTCAAACTAAGTTTTTGAGGAGAAAAATTATAAAGTGTAGGAGGATTCTGAATTGAGGTTGTTTTGCAAGTATCTTGAAGTTCTTGCTGCACTTAGAATCTGAAAAGCAAACTATGGGAAATGTTGGACACGGGGTATGGAAGAAAGGGGACTCCAACCTCAACCAGCTGTCACACAGAGAGACTTAAAATGCCAATCACGTATATGCATCATTTTTCATGATTTCCGACTTCAACAAACTTTTTTTTTTCAGGTTTACTGCCTAATAACTGGTCCCAGTGGCATCAGATCAGAGGAATTCTACAAAGAATCTGAGACGCAGTGGTTGCCATAACAGACCGTGAGCTCCACGAGGGCAGGGAGCCACGGCCCTTTCCCCAGCACCGAGCAAGCCGCGGGGCCTGCAGTGCTGTTTGCTAGGTGCCCCTGCCTCCCTGCTTCCATCATCACATCCCAGACTGCGGTGGAAATAAAAAGTGCAGAGAAAATAAACACAACTTATGAGTCACTCAACACCTGGAGAACTCCACAGGTTAACATTCAAAAACAATAAAATATGAGTACCTAACATCAATCACACCCAAGATCAGAGGATAAACCTACCTTCCTGCTGTGAAACCCACAGCTGCTGACCGTTACAGAAGGCCCCCTTCCCTTTCCGGCCGGTGTACATCTTATCCTCCACACAGCTGTACACAACCCCAAATTCCATCTGCAGAAGGAAAGCAAGTTTCCCTTACCAAATCTGAGTGCTTTTCTTCATGAAATCAATACCTTTTCTGTGAGGGTAACGGGAAAATCTCGAATACTGACTAATAATGTTTTCAAATGGCTAACCTGTGAGATACTTAAAAACGCTAATTTCCAGCTTAATCAGAGGAAAGGGGTCCTCAGACTCGAATCCCCGGCTCCCATGCCACCACTTCTCAACTTAAGTGCACCCACCCTGACCTCTCTCCCTCTCGCCTCAGAGGAGGACAGATCCCTCCTATTTTCTAAGGCGAATCCTTCCTCCCGAGTTATGATTCCTACCCTCTCACACTTCTCGGAAAACTGGCTCCGTCAACTGGCCCCTCTTCTCTTGGATATCAATTCTGGTACCTTCTCACTAAATTTCTCCCTCCCTTACAAAACCTTCAGAATGTTACCTTCTCCTTCTTCCTTCACTGCCAGAGAGCAGTCTACACTTTGCATCTCCTCTTTTCCTCTTAATACATTACAATTTGGCTTCTGCCTTGACCAAGCATTCTTCTAAAACTTCCTGCAAAGAGATCACTGCTGCACTCTTAGGGGCCAGATGCCTTCTCTGAAGAAGTGTCGACTGCTGGCCGCCATGGTGCTTCTCCACCACGCAATCCAGTACCTCCATGTTCACGGCAGTGCTCTCAGGCATCCGACCTTGCTCATTAATCTGTCTTGGAGTCACTTTTTTTAGGAGCTTCTTCTCTGCCTAACACTTAAAAGGTGTGTACCTCAGGGTTTTCTCATTCTTCCGTCTCCCTTTTAGCTCTCTATATTCTCACAGGTTTGTTCTTTGCAGTCCACAAATTCAACTACCCCCTCTAACTGCGGCTCCCATCACCCCCGTCACCATAGGTAAGATCGTGTGCTTCAGAGCCCAGTCTCTCGAAACCTCAACCAAAAGGGCCAAAATCACTCACTGCCTGACCATGCCTCAGTTCTTCCCCGTAAGTCTCCTCCTTCAAATTTTACCTTGAATGTACTTCCTGATTTTGGCATTTCCTCGGCTATTCTCACTGCCCCATCTTAGGTCAGATTCACTGGCCTCTCAGGTATAAGCTCTTCATTGCTGGAATTATCTGTCACTCTGCACTTAAAAAGCTCTACTGGTTTCCCACCACCTCAAAACAGAACCTAAACGTTCCGGCATGGATAGGCACACTCTCACAAAAGACCACAACTAACTTAGCTCATCGATTCTGCTCCTGCCACTTCCAGAGCTCCACTCACGACGACCATCTCACTGTCCCCTCACACATCACGCTCTTCTCCAAGCTGTTCTTTTTAATTAAAATGCTTTCCTTTCCTTCTTTATTTGGCAAACCCTTAATTTTCTAAGACCCAACTCATATGACCAAATTCTAAGACCTCCTCTGTTGTGAAGATTTCCCCAACCCACTCTTGGCAGAATTGGTCCCACCCTCTTCATGTTCTCACAGTATTTTTTTCCATAGTTCCACCACATGTTATCTTTATCTGTTCACACATCTAACCTCTGCACTGAACTGGGAGCTCAATGGCAGGGACGGCACAGAGCCCAGGGCTGATTACAGGCTAAATGCTCACTTACCTCCTTTTGGATCTTCTCACTGATTAACACAACCCTATGCCTAAGATTTCATTTGCACTAATTTGCGTTTTTATTTTCAGAGATTTCTTAACTCTTTTGTGTACATGCTGATCAAATATATGACAAGCTCCTTGAAGACAGGTATGTAAGATGTTAATAAATATCATTAATTGTTTGACCAAACAGCCAAACAACAAGGAAATGCAACAGCTAGAGATTATACTCTCTTGGGTTTTAGATACAGCCAGTATTGGGTTTCTGAACATACTCTGCATTTTCCAGCCATGCTATGGCCCCACCACTACACTTCCTGGTCTTTCAATGCCCCCCTTCACCAACACCTATTAAAGCGTTCTTAGCTCAAATCTTAGCTCTTCCATTAAGTATGTTAGATCACATGTCAATTCCCAGCACATCTGACTCTATCACATATATAATGGTAATTAAGTACTGAATTATATTTCAGTTACTTGTATGTATTTTTTTCCTTATAACTCTTGCTTCTCAGAAAACATTACATTTTCTTCACTGGAAAAAGTATCATGATAATTTTAACAGTCCTGTAGCTTATTTCAAAATAATGCAGCTATATAAATTGAATATAGAGACAAACCTAAATTTATTATGGAGACACGTTTACTCTTTCTCAGAAAATGAGAGCAAGGCATTTTACCAACCATAAATTTAAACAACATACCTTTTTATTTACAACAAATCCAATTGAAACAGCTACAAAAGGAAATCTTTAAAGGAAAAAACACACAAATTTACCAAGATAGAACTTATTTTCAATGTTTTATTCATAATATAATTGCTTACAAAATTTTTCATAGAAACAGTCTCATCCCTCCTCCCCCAGTGTGCATAGTATGCAATCCTTTGTGTAAACAATGGGGATAGGGGGCAGGTAGGATATATAGACATATATACACAGGATGCTTCTACAGGCACAAAACATCTCTGCACGGATTCACAAGAAACTGACAACATGGTCACCTCCAGAGATGGGTCCTGAGAAACTGGGGTCAGAAGTGGGAAGGACACTTTGCACTGCATGCCATTTTATATCTTTTGAATGTCGAATACCACTAACATAGTAACTATGTAAAATATTTTTTTCAAAAATTAAAAATTAAAAAAAAAAACATTTTTGGGGCCAGCCCAGTGGCGTAGCCGTTAAGTTCGCGCACTCTGCTTCAGCAGCCCGGGGTTCGCAGGTTCGGATCCCGGGCGCAGACTGACATGCCACTTGTCAAGCCGTGCTGTGGCAGCGTCCCATATAAAATGGAGGAAGACGGGCAAGGATGTTAGCCCAGGGCCAATCTTCCTCACAAAAAAACAAAACAAAACAAAACAGAAACATTTTTAATTGATCATGGTTAAAAAGAAAAGTCTCTTTTCTTTGGTTATTTCTCCCACAGCCAGGACTTATAAACACAGGTATTAAATTGTACAGAATACATTGTTACTTGTCTCGAGTCTAACATCAAACTTGGAGCTTCGCATCTGAAAAGTAAAGTGTTAGCCACATTATTGCTACCGCTGCATGACAGTTTGAACACAGAGGTTGTAATTTCTGACTCAGAAGAGAATCAAGGTGAAGAAAACAGACAAAATGGGTTCACGTAACTACTGAAAAGAAAAACTTTTAAAAATATTTAAGAGTTTTTATTTTAACAAAAATGGGATCGTACTATACACACTGTATTATAATCTTCTCTGTGTTACAATATATCATGAGCATCTTTCCACATTGACATTCTATCAGATATAGATTCTAAATCTTAGCTTTATAGACTTTAACAATTCTCTAGTAGTAAAGATATCTACAGCTACGTGGCAACTTGAAATGTAACACCTTGGTGTAATCCCACTAAATTAGGCGGCTGATTTTAACTCTCACTGGCAACTTCATCAGGCTTTCTTCTAGTGTATATACTTATGAGTTATAGACTTACTCTGTGCCAGGCACTAAACAAGTTCTTATATAAACGTACTACTCATTGAGTCCCAACAACAGACAATTCTAAGAGGCAGGTACCATTAATATGCCCATTTTACAGATGAGAAAAGAACAACAAAACTAAGGTTTAGAAAGATTAAGTAACTCGCCCGAGGTCACAAAGCCTACAAAAAAGCCCGCAGATTCAAGCCCAAGTCTGCTGATCCTAAAACCGATGCTCTTTTTAACAGTTCTTCTCCTGGATTGAACCCATTCTATATAGACAACACGCCAGTATGGACCCCATTAGTTCCTCAACTGATCTCAGGGCAGCAGTGTTGCCTGTCTACATGTTTACACGGCGCCAACACTGAGAGAAAGAATGGCGAACAGGGCACTTCGCTGGACAAGACAAGTCCACAACATTAGCATTTCACCACCTCTTCCATATCTAACGAAAATTCTGCACAACACATTTTATTCCACAAACTACACAATTCTCCAAAGTACATATGTTTGTGAACAGAGTACTCTAAGTGTCCATTCACTTAATACACACACAGTAATTACAATACTAAAATTTTAAAAACATACCTATGTACAAAGTTAGTTGTTCCATCAATAGGGTCAATGATCCACGTAGGGTTGTCGGTTAAGACACTTTTTTCCCCAGCTGCCACAGATTCCTCACCAATGAAACTGAAAGCAAGAACGACAAACTTCGAATCTTTACACTGCTTTCAACAATTTTAAAATCTTAACATTTCCTTAGCTAGAGCGTCTACTATAAAACATAACAAAAGGCTACACATCACACTTTTCTATTGTCGTTCCTTTTTCCTTCAGACTGATGGAAGTGAGAAAGCTTTATTTCCCCCAGAGCAAAGTCATGTGAAAAATAACAGAATTCAGAACTCTCAGATGCAATACCAGGAGAAGTGAAGGCACACGCAAGTGTGTGCACACACATCTGAAAAGGGCATTTGTTGCAGATGAGAACTTATTAAGGAAATGTGGTTTTAAGACCAAGTCCACAAATTCGCTCATACTCCTCTCTTCAAGAGGTAGGGCCTAACAACCCTTACCTTGAGTGTGAATTTGGACTTAGTGACTCGTTTCTAACCAACAAAACAAAGCAGAAGCGACAGTGGGCAATTTTGAAGACTCGCTCACAAAATGGCACTGTGGTTTCCATCTTATTCACTCTATTTCTCCCTCTCTCCCCTGACCTCTCTTGGTCTCGGAGAAGCCAGCCACCATGTAATGAGCTGCTGTGTGGAGAGGCCCAGCTGGCAAGGAACCAAGGGAAGCCACCAGCAGACAAGCCATGAGGAGTGAAGTCACCAACAATCACATATGTGAACAGATCCGCCGGCCCCAGCTGAGCCTTGAGACGAGCGCAGCCCTGACCAATGGTTTGACTGTAACTCTGTGAAATCCCGGCCAGAACTATGCAGCCAAACCAATCCCATATTCCTGACCCCAGAAAACTCCGAGATAATAAGTGTTTGTTGTCTAGAGCTGCTAAATTTTTAGGGTAATTTGCTAGGCAGCAATAAATAATATAGAGAACGTTATATAAGTCAATGAGAAAGCAAATCACCCACCAAAATGACTGTGTCTACGTGCCTTCCTAACACACGCTGTGCAGTAAATCTCAGGGGAGTTCAGTAATGGTGTCTGAGTTCACTGGTTTTCTTCTTTCCTTTCCTACTTTCTTTTTCATTTCCTTTATTCAATACTGAACTGTCCTAATAATCATTATCATGACTTTCTTTTACCTTGGCTATAAATCTTTTTATTGAGAGGCGCAGCCGTAAACATTTTTTCTACTCAATGGCTAAAACACCAGTAAAGGCCAATGGCATGACCAAGAAGCAGGGAGTGACAGTGTTGAAGCTCTAAAATGATGACAATGTTTTTTGCTATATTTCTGTGCCTATAAGAGGGCTCTGATCTAGTATTTTCTTTCAAGCTCCCTAAAGCTACCACCACTCTCCCACATAAACGAGTCTGCAATAGAGAGAAGAAAACTGAACTTCTAAATCATGCCTATGGCAGACATTGGTCACATTAGCTTCCTAGCACCCAAACTCTCCTCCTACTATGAAGGAGTCCACATATCCCCTACTCACTGCTCCCTGGCAGCCTGAGCGTGCAAAATCACCTGAGCTCAGCAAGCAGATATGCCTGCCCTGGATCTGTACTCTTGAACTAATGAGGTAAAGATACCCAAAGCCAGCAGAGTCAAGAGTGAGGCTACTGACCGCATCAGAAGCAACGGCTCCTGAGGCATCTAGCTCTGCCCTCCCCCCTGGTCCCTGCCCGAGCCCTGCTCTCGGGGCTCCTGAGATGCCTGATACCCTCCAAATAAAGTCCCTGTTCAACTTAAGCTAACTGAAGTCAATTTCTACATCAAGAATCAAAATTTGCATCTAGTATATTGACTCCAAACTAGGTTTTATTTTATCAAGTGAAACAGAAATAAGAAATACCTGTGAGATGGATACTTCTCCTTTATAGAAGAGATAAGCATTTTTTCAATTTTTTGGTCAGTAGCAGTTACCAAATCAGCTGGAGAACTTTTAATCATAACATTCATTTCATTTTTCAGGGCGTCACGAACCACCTAAAAAGATTTTTTGGTAAGCAAACAGAAAAAGCATTAGTCATTTTAAATCAAACCAAAAGATGAGACGTAGAAATGGTTTAAAACATTCCATCTGTCGTAAATGATATTCTTAAAATTTTCTTACCACGTAGTATATAAAATAAGCCTTTAGTGGTTATGACTTTCTAGGTACAAAACCATACAATCTTACATCCTATTTCAGATTCACAACTGTCATCAAAAAGTTTAATGACATAAAATCAGAGTAATCTCTCCACTTAAAGTGTTGGGTAAAATGAAACCATATGCAGATTAATCAAAATACATGTTTCACTGGACAAGACAGCCACACGCTGCTCACATGCATCGCATTACGGCGGGCAAGATTTCAGCTCATACCTCTCCAGCTTGTCTTGCTAGTGTCACTGCACAGTCCATGCACTCCTGCCAAGGGTCAGCCATCTTCTGAACAGACTTAACACACACCAGGACAAAGCAGGTACAAATCGCTGAAAGTCTTAATTACAGAACAGTTAGTTCACAAAAACACCTCAATTAGCAAAATACTGTCATTCATGATTCACCCTCTTCCTGATTCTGGAGTTCAATTTTTTTCAAGATTTACTCATAGGTCTATTAAAAAACATTTTCTACCTAAATTTCCTCACTTCTATTGTAGAAACATTTTCATGACAAAAAATATTCTACGGAAGTGTCTCCCAAAGGGCCCACATCATATCACATTTGAAAAAACAACACTGGTTTGGGGCATGGGGAAGAAAGGACACAAGAAATATTTTAAAAGATAAGTGCGTGTTTGGGTGCAGAATGAAGCAAAAATAAGAGAAAGAACACTGGGATACTGGAATTAAAGAAACTGAAGGCAAGGAGAGAGGCACACGTACTAGGTGAATGTCAGGCAGTTGAATGCTTTACACATGCGAATTTTTTTTGAAATGAGGTTGTAAAGATAAAGAACTTAAGTTCAGAGATGATACATAATGTGCCCAAGGTTATAAGACAGATGACACAGAATTTGAACTCAATTCTGATTTTAAAGTCCACTGCTCTTTCTATTATAAGATTCTGAGGAAAGAAAATGCCAAGATTAAAAAAAATAATAAAGAAAAAAGAAATTTATTTCCCTGAGTTTCAGAGAGGGGGAAAAAAAACAACGCATTTTTGTCTTCTGAACTTTCCAGCTTTCCACTGACTTCTGAACAGAGACTAAAATAACCTACCACTGGCTTGACCACACTCTAATAATGTACCTGGGACAGGGAAGCTTTTTAAGCTGTTAGACTCAGAAAAATATGGCATCGTTTATAAAGCAACCCCATTTTGGCACCTTTATAACAGAATAACTGACACAGAGTTCCACCTTGAAGATTACTCAGAAATCCCTCCCACGGTGCTCACAGTATAGGAAGGGGGAGAGGAGGGGAGGGAGGGCAAAGGACAGATACAGCGAGCTGTTTCTGATACCGGCATTTAAAAACATTTAAAAAGGAAGCCGCCTTTTGAGTTACAGAAATAACTGTTTCAAGTGCCTCAAGAGTTGTTCCCAAACTATTTTTTTCATTCTTACTCCCATTCCTCTCTTCTAGGCTTAACAGGACTAGATGTTCTCACGACACGTCTGCTTTCTCGCCGGAGACTTTGCTCAAGCCACGCCTACCTCCACCTTCTAACAGCACTTGATACAACTCCTACCAATTCTTCAAGGGCCATCTCAAAAGCTGCCCTTTCTTCTAGGAATTCTCCACCCAGAAGCCATTGTTTGTTTAATCACTCAATAGCTATTTGTGGAATACCTATTACATGATGCACACGCATCATGATGAGGAAAAAGAGGCCCATTCTCACTTACTGTCTAGTGGGGAGTCAAGTATTAATCAAAAAACTCACAGACTACAAGCCAAATCACAAATGTAATAAAGGCTAAGGAGGACAACTGCAACGGGAAGCAGATAACAGGGGAGCTCTGCCGAGGTCTTAGGGATCAGGTGAGGTTTCCCTGAGGACACAAATCAACCAAGATCTGAAGGACAAGTGAACAGGCATTAACTCACTCAACGCAGGATGCCTGGAACATGAAGAGTAATTGAGGGGCCTAAGAGTGACAGCTCAGAGATCCAGGGAAAAAGGCGAGAGACAAAACCGGGGAGATAGTGGGGATCATCTGGTGCAGGGCTTAAAGAGAAGATCTGAGAGTCATATGGGTTGGAGGGTGGAGTGGAGAGGGGAGAGTAGGTGTGGGTATTAGATAGGGGGGTAGATGGCTTAGGAGATTTAGATTTAGGATGCAGTAGTCTGGGAAAGACCTCATGGTTGACTTGTTGGCTTAAACCTTGCCCGTTGGGGGAGGGTGGCAGGTAGAGACGTTGAGAGAACCAAGAGAAGAGATATTTGGTTTGGGAGGTCAAGTTGGGGGGACTTAGCAACAGACTGGGTATGGGGTATGAGGGAGAGGCAGAGTTCAATGATGCCCAGATTTCTCACTTGGGCAAGTGAATGAATAATGGTGACATCTACTGAAGTGGAACAACAGAACAGAGTCAAGTTTGGGATTTGGGGAGGAGGTGGGGAGATCCAGAGTTTAATTAGTTGAGGATGAGGGGCCTTCGTGAAACAAAAGGAGATGTCGATGAAGCAAGTAAATATAGAGATCTTGAGCTCAGAGGAGAGGTATGGCCTGCAGACATAAATGTATGTCATGCGAATAGGCAGCAAGTGAGTCTTGAGGCTGAATGACATTCCTTAAGAGGGAACACGCAGTGAGAAGCTCGGAGGACACCCTGGCCTGGAAGACCCCATAAAACTCTGCACATTACTCTTGGGGCCCCCCCGCAACGTCTGCCTCACATTCAGGTCATCTGTGTGCATGCCTTATCTTCCCAACCAGTTTGAAGGGGGCATATTTTATTCACCTTCATTTTCCTAAAAACACAAACACCTGGGACGTTTCCAACTGTGTCCGTCCTAGTCACGCCCTTCCTGCGGTGGGGACCGTGCCACCCTCCTCTGTGCCTGTCCCCGGCAGCCCGACCGCGACAGCAGGGATCCGGGGCTGCCAGTGGGACCAGGTGACGCTGGGAATATTCCAGGTCTCTCTCAGCTTCTCCGGCATCGGCAAAATGACAAAGGGGGGATCACTCTCCAGAAGCTGCCGCACGGGCTCAGGGAGGTCGCGTGGGCGAAACCGCTACAGCACGTGGGGACTGTCCCCGGTGTCACCCGGCGGCGGGGCTCAGCATGACGGCGCCCCCACCGCGGCCTCCGCCCCCGGGCGCCCACCCGC